TGAATCCCCTACCTGAACATAAACACGCACCTACCTGTCGTTGACAACTTCATTTTATCGTTCTAAGTATTATGACTATTATGATTATGAATATTTGGTATGATGCAAGTTGATAAACAGCATCTGTTGCCGCGTCTTTCTGCTACTTGACAACGTGTCCAGCGGATGCTCACCGTTCCATTCGAGACCTGTGAGGCCCTCATTCCCTGCCCACCACACGATCCCCCCCTATCCCTACACCCCTTGTCCTGAAGCACCCCTGCCACCCTCCCCTCCCCTTGCCCCCCTCCACTCCCCGCCCTGAACCAGAACGCATCCACCTCACACACCTCTCACACTTCACACCCGAGACTTCGCTCTCACTCCTCTTCATCCTGTGATCGCCCACCTCCCGGACGCTGTGCTTTTGACTCTCTTTTCCCCCTTCTCCCAGCGTCCATCTCTCACACCCCTTTCCGCTACTGCAAGTAGGGACAAAGTAATTATCGCCAATCCTCTCAATCCTCCGCGAATACCAAGAATTCTATCCAGCCGCCGAGTGCAGGCATTGTGTGCAGGTAAGTGTGCGACCAAATCCAAGCAGCGTGGCTTGTATCATCGACACAAAATCACCTTATGTTTCCTACACTCCCCCCTGCCGCCCATCCCTCTTCCTCCTCTCCTATAAGCAGAAAAGTAGTAGCAGCAAGAGAAGCCGCAACACTCTTCCGGACACACTCTCTTGCCTGTCCAAAACTCTGCTGTGCGCCATAAGCCCCTCGGCCGCCTCTTCTTCTCTTCTGCTTCCTCCCCGCCACCTTCTGTCATTTACATTCCAGCTCCGTGCCCTTCCCACCACTTTCCATCCTTCTACCGCCTCGCGCGTGAAGCCTTCATTTCGCTGACCCAGTGACCAACGGATCGCAGGCTCGAATTTCCGCTCTTTTTCTGGGTTCGCGCGTACTTCTTGGATCGACTCTTCACTTCTCTTCGCCTACTTTCATTTAGATGCATTATTTTCTGCGCCCATTCAGCAGGCTCTGAACCAATCCCCCCACGCTCCATTATACCCGCGACCACTCGCACACCGCCATCACCACGACGATAGAAGTTGCCAACGACTAGGGAAGGAAACAGAATCAGCGGGGACGTTTAATTGAAATCCGAGAAAGAGTCGAGAAGAAGACCACCCCTCCACTGGGATAGTTCGGATCGGAAAGGAAATCAGCAAGAGAACAATCGTCGAAGAACCCCTGGCTAGCGACAAGCCAGATCGAATTGCCAGCCATGGATTACTACTACGCAGGTTCCGAGAAGCCCTCGGAACGCTCAAGATGGACACCCCTCACCCGCATGCTTCTCTCCGGAGAGATGACTCAGGAGAAGCAAAAGGATTTGACAATGCGGGAGCGCTTCGACCGTTGGATGATTAACGAAGGATACCGAAGAGTGTACGTCCACGCACATCCAGTCCGACTACTAGACAACAGGCTCTAACTGCAAGCAGATTCGTTTTTGTGTTCCTCGTGCTTCACGGTCTCGTCTTTGCTTTCGCCTCCGTCAACTTCGCCCTCAAGGACAACTTGCAAATAGCAAGAGACACATTTGGCCCGACATTCATCATTGCACGTTCAGCTGCGCTGGTGCTCCACGTCGACGTCGCTTTGGTCCTTTTCCCCGTCTGCCGCACGCTCATCTCCCTGGCTCGCCAGACTCCGCTCAATGGAATCATCCAGTTCGACAAGAACATCACCTTCCACATCACCACCGCTTGGTCCATTGTCTTCTTTTCGTGGGTCCACACCATTGCCCACTGGAACAACTTCGCCCAGATCGCCGCCAAGAACAACCTCGGAATCTACGGCTGGCTGCTGGCCAACTTTGTTTCCGGACCCGGCTGGACTGGCTATGTCATGCTCATCGCGCTCATGGGTATGGTCTTCACCTCGGTTGAGAAGCCCCGCCGTGCCAACTACGAGCGATTCTGGTACACTCACCACATGTTCATCGTCTTCTTCTTCTTCTGGTCTATCCACGGTGCCTTCTGCATGATTCAGCCCGACTTTGCTCCTTTCTGCACCAGCATCGGCACTTCCGCCATCGGTGTGTTTTGGCAGTACTGGATGTACGGCGGTTTCGTCTACCTGGCTGAGCGTGTCGCTCGTGAGGTTCGTGGACGTCACAAGACGTACGTTTCCAAGGTCATTCAGCACCCCAGCAATGTCTGCGAGATCCAAATCAAGAAGGAGCACACCAAGACCAGAGCTGGACAGTACATTTTCTTCTGCTGTCCCGCTGTCTCTCTGTGGCAGTACCACCCTTTCACCTTGACCAGCGCCCCCGAGGAAGACTACATCTCCATCCACATGCGTGTTGTCGGTGACTTCACCCGTGCTGTCTCGATGGCTCTCGGCTGCGAATGGGACAAGAAGAAGGACGATGCGAGCAAGGTCGTCGGCGTCAACAGCGATTCCAGCGAGGTCGACCCCGCCCTCCGCCGTGTCTTGCCCCGTGTTTACATTGACGGGCCCTTTGGCTCGGCCTCTGAGGACGTTTTCAAATACGAGATCTCGGTTCTCTGCGGTGCTGGAATCGGTGTCACGCCCTTTGCTTCCATCCTGAAGTCCATCTGGTACCGCATGAACTACCCTCAGCAGAAGACCCGCCTGAGCAAGGTTTACTTCTTCTGGATTTGCAGAGACTTTGGCTCTTTCGAGTGGTTCCGCTCCCTTCTTCTGGCCATTGAAGCTCAGGATGTCGATAACCGTATTGAGATCCACACCTACCTGACGGCTAAGATCAAGGCGGACGACGCGACGAACATTATGATTAACGACGCCAACGCCGACAAGGATACCATTACCGGCCTGCGCTCGCCGACCAACTTCGGTAGACCCAACTGGGACATGATTTTCAGAGGTATCCGCAAGCTGCACTCGCCTGCCGAGGCCGGTGTATTCTTCTGCGGTCCTAAGGGTCTAGGTAGCACGCTGCACATTTTCTGTAATAAGTACAGTGAACCTGGGTAAGTCACCATTCTAGGCCTGAAAACATGTTCAATGCTAATATTACTGCAGCTTCTCGTTCGTGTGGGGCAAGGAGAACTTCTAGGCCAAAGTCGAAGAAAAAGAAAAAGGCAACAATTTCGTTTCGTTTCCCTCTTCCACCATATTATTTGTCAACAATATCAGCGTCGTTGCTTGCCTGTACCAATCTATCTCTACCATCATTTATCAGTTGCGGTAGGATAGACCATCATGGAGTCTGATCCACGGGGTTGCATGTTGCAGTTGCGCCGGACGCCACAAGACCAGGTGGATGCCAGGTATTGGCGACACGGGTGACGGCATCACAGGCATGCCGTCGGAGAGGAGGAGGAGAATTTGGAGGGCGACAGTGAGGAAGTGCATCGGAGGATGATGATAATCTTGGGCGTCATCCCCGCAACCCCTTGTGGATATACTATTTACTACTACCGACATTTACATTGTACCTAGCGATGCCATCATCAGTATACTTAGACAGTTCTTGATGCAGCAGGGCACAAGGCTCTTGCAAACGTCAACTTGGTTTCCTTCATCCGTTTTTCTCGTTATCTACCGCGTGCATGTGTGTAGGAGACGATTCCCAAGATGAGGTGAGACGTGCCCCTTCCTCAAGTCTTCTTCGCCACTGTTTGGGCTCCCGTAGGCCCTGGGAGACTGAGGGGAGCGCTCGGACGCCCGGGCTTGGTGTAAAGATGACGACTGCTTGGGTAGGGACGTGTGCCCTTTGTTGAGTTTCGAGACGCCTGTTATAAAACGCTCCAACTGGGATGATATCGGACGAACAAGGGGTGTTACATGCCGCCGCGTGGTTGGGATTTTTCTTTCCGTAGGGTCGTAAGCCGTTTTCCTTAACATTGCTTGGCTGCTTGTTTAATTTTTGAGGATAGTTGATTCGGTGACGTGGGGGACGCTTGATTCTCTGCCATGCGTTTGCCCTCTCACTTGTTTTATCATTATAGCCGCTACCCTTTTCGCATCAAAATCTTTCTTATGTACGTCAGAGAATATACCCTGTATAGTAGATATCGGTACTAGTGATAACAGTGGCAACCGGTTTTGTCACCTACTTGGGTGAGTAGATACGAGGACCTTTCAGGCCGGGCCCGGGCGATCTGGTTGAGTGGCTCTTCGTGCTTGGTGGTGTATGAGTGAGGGATGATGGGCGAGGGATGGCTTGGCTTTTTGCTTGGCGATTTCGGGTATCTTGGTCTCGCGCGAGAGCAGACAAGGGGACTTGCCTAGATTATGATGTCTACTTGGTACCACCAATCGCCTCAACACTGTGGTATCAGACGTGGCCGTGTTTGTCAGGAGGGTGATTCCATGTCCTCCCTCTCTGCTTCACAGTAGAATGCGCGTGCTTCCGGTCCTGCCCGGCTGAGAATGCCCGGCTAGTGCGCCGGCTTTGAACCCCAACCGGAGCCGAGCCATTGCCGCTTCGGTTGATCTGGCGCGGTTAAAATGCAGTTCTTGGTGTAGTCATGGTAGCAGTCCATCCTCCTGTTCTTGTGGTAGGTTTATGCGGGCTGTCAACGCCCCCATACCCCATTCGATAAGTTTCTTGTCGAGCGGCTCACTCTTTGCTCGACGTTAATGAAGTTCTTTTGCCTCACGTCATCTACCATGCTTCACCGCTATAATCGTGTTTTCCCAGCCTCGTTATTCAGTCTATCCAGGTATCACGAGGGGATTAATGAAGGTTATCTGACGGCGGTTGAAAAACCTATCGCAGCTGGTATGTCACTTGATGGACACAAACGGAGATATGTATGTGGGCAGACTAAAGAAATTCAAAACCATATCGCAGAGATTCTCCCCAGGCTCATCGTTTTGACATTTAAGCATCAGTGTATTCCTCAGCCGAATTGAAATATCGAGGAAAAACATACACAACTCATCTCAGACTTGACGCCTTCAAGAGTCGGCCAAGTCCCACTACCTGCATCCTCCGTTCAACCTCGCAGTCTCAACACGATGTCTTCCACCACCCAAACCAGATTCCTCATCATCTCCGACACTCATGGCCACACATTCCCACCTGAAATGATGCCTCGTGAACCGACTGATGTCCTGATCCACTGCGGCGACCTCACACAGCACTCAAAAATGGACGAATTCCGCCAAACTCTCGACATGCTCAAGTCGTTCAAAGCACCACTCACGCTCGTCATCGCAGGTAACCACGACTTCTCACTCGATCCCGTAGCATTCAAAGCGAAAGTTGAGGAAGCCAATCGTATCAATGGCGCACCACTTGGAGCAGACCTGCTTGAACGGGAGTATGGCGGATACGGACTGGCTAGGAAGCTCTTCGTCGATGCCAAAGAGGACGGCATCGTTCTCCTGGACGAGGGTACACACGAACTGACTCTGGCAAACGGCACAAGGCTCAAGGTCTACGCTAGCCCGTACACGCCATCATCCTCATCATCTGAAGGCTGGGGCTTCTCGTATAACGAAAGCGAGGGACATGACTTCCAAATCCAGGCCGACACGGACATCGTCATCACTCATGGTCCGCCGCGTGGGATTATGGACATGTCTGCGAATAAGAAGCGTATCGGCTGTTCGGATCTGTTTGCTGCGGTTGCAAAGTCTCAACCTCGTTTTCACTGTTTCGGACATGTACACGGTGGTTGGGGAGCAAAGGACGCAGCTTGGCGCCCGAAGATTTCCGACAAACCCTCACATTTTAGTGATATTAATCACGAAAAGTCTCAGCTTATTGAAAGTCTCGCAACGCTCGGGGGTACCCGGTTCGAATCTGAAGAAGACAAGAAGGTTAGAGAGATGAGACTCGACGTATGCAGAGCGCAGCGATACTGTAGTGCAGGACACCTTCGCAACAATCTGAGCTCGTCGGAGGTCAAGAGCACCATGTTCGTAAACGCCGCGCTCGAGGTGGATGGTGAGTTGGAACGCTATCCCTGGATCGTGGACATCGACCTGCGGAGGAGCGAAACCGGCATAGCACCCGGAACTGAGAGAAAGAGGCGGCGGGAGGAATCGACTGAAGAGCTTGACGAAGCAAGGAAACTCTCGAAAAGATCATAGTCGTTTACTTCGAGCACGATTGAGGGCATTGTGGTAGCATTCACGATAGATAGCCAGTGTTTAGGGGAAACACATCGTCGACACGCTCTTTCCTATCTTCCAGGCACATGAAAACTCCCAAGCAATGGGTCAGGTCCGAGGGATACCAGCTGCCCCAAGTGCCTCACCAAATAGACGTGAATGATTGCCAAAGCAGGCACCAGGTGATGTAAAGCATGGGAAGGCAAGTAGTCAGATTGACAACTACCCCTCCCTCTCTTTTTGCTGTGTTTTCTTCTTCGCGACATCATCGACAGACTTCTTGGTAGGTTCTTGATAAAGCATCGAATCATTTACCGTGTGCATTGCTAAAGATGATAGATTGGTAATCGTTACTACAAATTACTTGCATCAGCTCTTCAGTTGTTCAAAGTATTTTTTCGCTCGAAGCTAGATCCCTAAGAAGAGTCATCATTCAAAATGCCCAACTCCTCCAAGACCATCTCCATCCCCATGCGCGACGCGCTGTTTGCCTGCTTTAAAGCAGCAACGACCCTTGTCCGGCCAGGCTTACGGCAGCATGTTATCTTAGTCGGAGGTGCGGCGAGCGTTGCCCACTCCTCGACATAGCACACCGAGGACGTGGATGTTGCGGCCCCCTCAGAGGCCATCATCGACATTTAGGAGAGCGCCCAAGCCGGGCTCAAAGGCTTTACCATCGAGGCCGACGGCAAGATTGCGTTTGACGCACCTCAAGGATTCCGAGTACGGATGGATGTCCTGGAGATTGGCAATGGCTGCATCGAGCGCATACACGCAACCGAGTCCTTCTTGGGGGGTTCGGTCGCGTCTACCTCAGACCTCCTCCGGCTCAGGGCAAAGACTGTGGTAGAGAGGGGAGGTGATGGGGAAGTAGATGACTTTCGGTGGTTACTGTTGCTTGCTGCAAGAAATGGCCAAGTCCTCCCCTTACTTGATAACGATGAGGTGGAGAACTTGTTTGGTGCTGCTGCTATCTTGATGTCATTCGATGTCTTGATCTTGGTTGCCCTTCTTGGTGTCAACAATAGCGCAGCTGCCGGGCAGCTGCTGGGCAAATATCTGTGATAATAAAGCATAAGCAAATCATGAAAAATGGCGGGGAGCACGTTGAATGAGGCACAGCGAAACAGGGGTCCATCCAACACGCCCCTGTCACCTCTCCCAGCCATCGTCTTTCTACCTGATGAGCTCAACTTCCATCCTCGCCGCAGGATCACAACGGAACCCGATGGTTCAGAAAGAGGATCGGTGACTGAATTCATCATGCTTCCCACACATACTCTCACCTCATTCCTCCTCTGGGCCGGAATCGCCTCACCCGCAAAACCTGTAACCTGCCCCTCCAGTTCAGAACTCAGAGTTACCATACCACCGTCCTACCAGAGCCCAAGCAACACAGACTACGAGTCGTTAGCCGCAGTCCACGATGCTCTCATCCACTGCCCCAACATCACATCACTCAACCTGCGTATCGGAGAGATCGGTTGTGTAGGAGAACCCGACCGCTGGAGCCTTCCCCTCGATCCTGCCGGAACATCACGATATCTCCCCGTACTGGACACACTATCCCTCGAAAAGTATCATTTTTACGACACTGATGGGGATTACCTACATCCTTTGAGAGGATGGACTAATCTCAGTGCTTGGATCTGGTCGGGTGATGCCTTTGGGTGGTTGAAATGGAGACTACTCTCGGATGACCAAAAGTCGGTGAGCAACACCGAACTATGGCTCGACGCGATGGACTTCTCCAAGATCCGCAGTCTCTCCATCTTGGACTACGACGGTCCCCCCGAGACACTCGTCGAGAGCGAATTGCCTCTATCTCTACCAAGCCTTCGCACGTTGAGGCTGGAACGAAACACAACCGTAGACTTTGGCCTCTCTCTACCTCCGCATTCGCTGCACAGCCTTTCATGGCTAGACGCCGGCCAAGACCAGTCCATCATCCCCATACTGGAACGCCATGGACGCTCACTCACTCACCTGGAATGGCGAACGCCAGAAAGCCTAGAGTCCAAAAGACCAGCACTTCCGTGTGAGGTCATGCGAGACCTTCGCAACCTAGCACCCAATTTGCGATCTCTGACCATCGACCTCAACCGCAACGGCACATGGCCATGGGAGGATCTCCGCGCTCTCTCGTTAGGCCTCCCGGCTGGACTGACCAACCTCACGCTATACCTCGAGATCGCGAGCGAATGCCGTCGTCAACAGGGCCCGTACGATCCGGTCCGTTGTGAGGATGCCTGCGGTCCGGTGGAGCAGCTCGCCAGCCCTCTGCTCACGGCGACGAGTGCCCTCCAAGTTGCGAGGTTCATCCGACACTACGCAAAGAGTCCGATGGCCTCCATCAACTTCTTCGCGGGCGATTGGACGAGGCCGTGGGATGGGCCGATTAACGTGCCGACCTGGTTGGATGGCAGGCGTTCTTGGGTTGCTTGCGGTACGAACGGCGGCGAGGATGAGGAGCTCAGATGCTCTGGGATGGACACGGCATTGGGCGAGCATGAGATTGAGCTCTTTCGGGCCCTGTGTGTACGAATGTCGGCGGATCTATTGGATGATATCACCGCTGGGCATCCTCAAGACTTCGTGGAACAGCGCAAGAGTAAATAAGATCCAAATGCGGCAAGACGGCTTGTTGGCGGTGTCGAAGCTTCAGGTACTCTCTTTCGAACACTCCGTACAGAGACAATGATCCAGCCTGAAGTGTGGGCACGAATGTCGCGGTTCCCGTAGATGTCGTTATCGACAGTTAGGAGAGCGCCCAAGCCGGAACCGATGGCTTTACTGTCGAGGCGTCTAACAAGGTAGCGTTTGATACGCTCCAGAAGTTCCACGTCGGAATATATAACCTGCAGGCTGGGTGTAGATACATCAAGCGCATCCCATCGACTGCTAGAAAATAGAGCAAAGTTAGAGAAAGACTTGCGTAGTGACGGATGTAGTGACGCCATGAAGCGGTTAATGGAATACAGGCAACGAAGCCCTTTCTTGGAGGATATCATACCAACTTCAGATCTTGATATCGTTTCACATCTTGATCTCGGTTGCGCTTCTCAGTTCCAACAATGGCGCGGCTGCTTTGCGGCTGCTGTGTAATTGTTTCTTAAAATGAGTACAGATCAATACAGGCATTTTCAGTCAACAAGATGACCTAAACCGTGGTCATCTCTACTGGTCATCTATCGTGCGCTTACGCCGTAATGATGTGAAGTCGAAGGGAACCGATCATGTGAGCTTAATGAGGCAGTCATTCTGGGTGAGACTGACTACTCTTCTAGCGACGGCCCATGGACAGGACGAACCCTTCTAAGTAGAGGCCTTGGCAGGGAGCGGGCAAGAATGGAGGCGACTTCATGTCAAATAGTACAAAAGTGAAGTGTCTCACACTTGTGAGTACAACATGGGGAAAATGACGAGCAAATTCTGGAGAAATAAAGCTTGAATTGAAAGATGCATTCCTCGTGAGCGACATGTGAGCCATACTCTCACTTGAAGGCAAATGCACAGACGTTATGAAAGTCGCGTTAAGCCCCAAGCTGAGTGGGCGCGCCGTGTGCCAGGCTTCACAGTGAAGTGTGGCTCAGCTGGCAACTGGATTACCCACCGGCCGGTGGACGCTGTGTCTCTGGGCAATTTCCGGGAATTACAAACGCTGGGCCCCTTCGAGTCTTCGACGCCCGAGTGTCCCGGGCGGTCCCCTCTTTCTTCTTTTCGCGGTAAGCACTTTCGAAGCTTACCAGCTTGGTGGTAAGAGATTGAGTAACGGACTTTTCTGAGAGTTGATAGACTCCAAGCATGAGACTGCTTCCTGCGTAGAACTAACTGGACGGACTCCAGGAGCGAGTGATTGGGTCCTGTCGGGCTTTTCTCCCATCTTGAGCATCTTTGAGACCCGAGAATCCTTACAATCTTCTCTCGTGTCGCAGACGGTGGTGATCTACAAAGGATGACGCTGTTGGCGAGCACACCTCCCTAAACCGACCGTTTTGTAGACCTACTGGGGCGCTGGCTGCTGCACCTCGATCTCGTATTCCGTTTCGGTTCATTTTCTGGCGCGTGAATGCGTGTGCGTGTGTGTGTGTGTGTGTGTGTTGTTATGCGTTGTCTGCTGGAAGCGTCTGCCCAGGCTGATATCATTCTGCCCACGCGCAGATCGCATGACGGAACGTCAACACCACTAGATACTCTGTCCCCTCGAGCTGCGAGCAGACGGATAGATCAAGAAGCATCATCGAGGGTGAAACACGAGTAGGATCACTCACTCGCTACCACAGAACACGAGCGCTTTTCTTTCTTCTCTCGACACGCTGTAATAGTTTGGGCGCGTGTCAATGTCGCGATTCGGTCCACCGCCAAAAGATCGAATTTGGCAGGAAATGCGCGAATGCAAGCAAATGTGGCGCTAGCTGACGATTTGAGGAATCCAGGGTCATTCGACGCCCGGATGACCAGCGCCACGCCGGCGATGACACGGAAGTGGTTTTATGGCCCGGGGAGGGATCCAAGTGAACCCTGGCGGGAGAATCGCAACATCTATCAAGGGTCTAGTTGTATTCCGTACTTTTGAATGTTTGCGACATTTTGAAACCTCTCAACACCGCGCGATGCATATACGGGTGGAAGAAACCTCGTTATCATGGTAGTTTCAATATTTTTTCTTCTTTACGCGTCGCTGTCGTAGTCGTCGTCGTGGCCGTTGTCGGGGCCCTTGGTTACTCAGCCATCGTATGTTGCCCACTTGGGTCCATCCCGCGTACCGTATGAGGGGGCAGGCGACACGGGGGTTTGGCTGGAGACTGGAGTTGACGGGGAGATTTCGTTAACCATCACAGGACCAAGGCGGTTTTCCGACAATCTCGTATTGCTGCTGATTGTCCAATGGAACTCCGCCGTGTACTGCCTGGCTATCGATACCTATGCGTTGGCCCCGAGCCCTGGTAATATTGCTGATAACCATTGACTGGCTGTCA